ATGATGATTCTTGTTGTTATACAATAATCATCTTTGCTTGTTTCAGTGAAATATTAGCTTCTCTATCAATGAACAGATAATAAGGCGTATTTGATTTTTAAAAAAGAGATTGATAAACCAAAATCATGCAGTGAGACATTAAAAAAATTACACACTGATTTCCAATTGTCAAATATAACTGTTATAAAAATAGGTGATTAATTCCTGTTAAAACCGGTTCTGGTTTTGCTGTCCAATCAGGGATCGACACACTTTTCTTTTCTTTTTGTTTTATAAACTCCTTCAGCCTAAATTGAACATCAGTTTTCTAGTCTGGCCATAAAGTATAGATCAGGGATAGGCCTGGACTTTAACTAGGCCATTCCAAGGTTGACGCCTGGTCACATGAATATAAATGAACCATTTGATTACTGGGAATATGTTTAGGCTCCACCTGCTCTGCTGGAAGGCGAGCCTCACCTACAATTTAAGATCATTTGCAGATTTAAACAGGTTGTCCAGTTTCCCTGTAGACCAAGAAGTTCACTGCTGCACTAAGCTTAGAAGTAAACAGGGGATGATTGAAACACATCATCATAAACTGTGGCGGATCTATTAACTCACTTCATTCACCTGCTGTACCCTCCCCACTCTCTAAATATGATTCCTCCTGTTCACCTGCGCCCGCTGCTTTATATATGGTTCAGACCAGCTATCGGGGTCATTAGTGTCCATGTTTTCTCTGAGTCGTTTAGTTTTTGTTTAGTCCCTGGTTCGCAGAGGCCAGTGGATTGAGAGGGTTTGGTGTTTTTCTCCTGTCTCCTGATCGGGTCCCGGCTCTTCTCCGCGGAGCCCTCAGGGTTTTGACGCGGAGGAGGCCAGTTTGATCCTGGCTCCTAGGAGGAGTACAGTTTAAAGTTCTGCAGTTCTCCTGGTACCATGTCTTGTCTCTGTTCCTCTCAATCACTGGGCCCTCCTGTCTCGATCTGAGCGTGTCTGTCTGAGCTAGCTGCTAGTGCTCTGAACCTGCCTGAATGCCCTCTGGATTCCTGGAACCCTGGATGTGTCTGTTCTTGTTTGGATCGGAGGCCCTGGTCGGGCTGCGGACTACTGGATTTCAGAACAGTCCGGCTCCGAACTGTTTCCTTGACATAGATCTCCTGCCTGTTCAATGGGGTTGCAGCATCAGGGACGCTCTGGGCGCCGTATCTCGTTGGCGGTGCATCAGCTGATCCTGCCTTTGATGAGAGGATGGACTGAACCAGGTAAGTGACTCACACGGATAATCATCTTCTGTCAGATTATCGTGGTCACTTGCCTGTGGTTCTCCCTGATCCACAGTGCCAGTGATGGGTTGTGGCCCACCCCCTCGCAGGCACTGCATGTCCGCTGATTCACAGCTTCATGTTCAGTTTTCTGTTTTGTTTCTGTCTTTTATTTTATCATTAAACGTTTTGAAGCTTCCTGCTGTCTGACTCGCCTGAATACTGGGTCCATCCGTCCTTTATGACATAAACATAGTTGTAAGATTTTTAGACCATCTTTCTACTTCCTTCCCATTCGCAGATCTATTCTACTTTGTGTGGATCTATTAAGTGAAATCCTGGTGAAATAATCTGATAATGTTTTAACGGGCCTGAATACTTTTACAAAGCATAGTGTGGCATCCCAAAATATGACGCCATAAACATCGCATGGGACGGAGCTCAGCACACAGATCCCGGAAAGAATCACATGAGATCCATTTTTATTGACAGCGAAGCTTAGAGCTGGAATTCCCCAAGAAGAAAAGCTCTGACCCTCCAGTGTGTTCTTCACCCAGACCCTCAGAGGAAATGACATTTATAAATTACAGTGTTTTCCACAAGCCAAGAAAATACACGGCCAACCCGGAGCACGAGAAACAGAGTGGTGTTTACTGATTAATTCTGTTTTTAAGGCAGCTAGACCAATTTAGATCAGTTCCAACTTACAATTTCAAAGCCTTTCTGAAAGTTCGTCATCTCCCGGAACAAATGGTGCCATTCAGACAAAACCAAAGAGCGCCTATTGACATGGGAGTGAATACTTTCCAGCAATTATGCATCAGTTTAATGCAGAATGTGACCCAGCATGTGAATGTTTGACCGCCTGCATGCTTCCCTTATCTGCATCTCTCTCCAACTCTCTCTCTGTTTTTCCCTCTCTCTCTTCCAGCTTCAAATTTCAGGAATTTCCCCAAGAGAGCTGAAGTCAACGTTAAAGGATTTCAGTTTGCCTCTCTTCTTCAGGCACCTGATCAAAAACTAATTCTCCTATCAACATTTTCCAGATGCATCACAGAGTAACTGAGAATAAAGCAGCAGTTCTATCTTATGACAGACGTGCACCTGGGGCTGAGTCTCTGACCCACTCGCATCGCTGACCTCTTCTCCTGATCATGAGACCCTGTCCTCCCATCGTCTCCCCGCTCTCCCCCAGGAGCCAGGAAGCAGGCTCTTGTGACACGCAGCCATGGAGAGACCCATTAGTGCAGTCACATGGCAGGTTAGCACAGTTACTGATGCAACCATGTGAGCTCTATTTTCTAACAAGCAGCAGCTGCCCTGAGGTCCAACACAGCCTCAGTCAGGGAAGGAAATGTTGTCTGTGGACAAACAGCAGAGATTTGGGAGAAATCTCAGTTGCATGTATTGAGTCATAAATTATGTCCACTGTGGCCCCAAAGTACGATTCAGTTTCTGACACCAGATAAGGCAGACTTTTCAAATCTCACTTGCTCAGTAAAAATCTGTTGTGCATCTCTATGCAGCCCAGAAGTCTGATTGTCAAAGTTCAAACTATGTATTCAGACTCATAAAGTCAGAGTTCCTCCTAATGATTGACCAACATAGTTCCAGCACATAGAAAACAAAGTGAAATGTCTATTAACCAGCATTTTACAGTTTATATGACATTAAACTAGTGGCAGAAACAGGCTGAACAACATCTAACAGCATCACCCCTTCGATTTTAAACCCTTTAAATGAAAATACGACATCTCTCTTCTGAAATGCAAAAGTGATTCTATGGGTCCTAATAGAACTAGAATAGAACTAGAATAGAACTAGAATAGAACTTCCTGAAGTTACAGGTCTCTGCAGCCTCAGGTTTAGTGTTTTACTGTCAAATTTCATTCATCTGAATATGTTCCAATAAAAGTCATTTTTCAGATTAGATTAACTCTTAAATAGTTATTACAAAAAAACCACATCTATATATTGAAATGTTTTTCATTGCTTTCATGTAATAATCTAATCTTAAATCTGATGTTTTCAGCTCTACGTGAGAAATCCTCATAATTAACATAAAAAAAGAATATTAGTCTGTGTAATTAATCTCTATTATGTTACAGAAATGAACATTTCAGTCATTTCCTATCAGTTTAATTTAGATTAATATTAATATTCAGTGAACTTTCCATGTGCAAACTTTCTATATCAAGCTAATAACATTCTTTAACAAATTAATTAAACATCTTAATTTTGTGATTGAATGCATGATATGCAGAGAATTATCTGCAGTTGCTATTAGCAACACAATTAGCAAATGGAATGGTTAGGGTCCCAAAAAGGAATAAAGGAAGGAAAGTCTGCCTGCCTGCCTGCCTGCCTGCCTGCCTGTCTCTGTCTGTCTGTCTGTCTGTCTGCCTGCCTGCCTGCCTGCCTGTCTCTGTCTGTCTGTCTGTCTGTCTGCCTGCCTGCCTGCCTGCCTGCCTGCCTGCCTGTCTGTCTGTCTGTCTGTCTGTCTGCCTGCCTGTCTGCCTGTCTGTAGCATAAAACATGGCTTTGCGCTCCACACCTGTGTGACGTCATTCTCAGGTCGGTGTTTTTCCCTCGGTGGGAAATGGACTCTTGTTCTGGCAGAAGAAGCAGCGTTTGAGTTGCAGGTCAGTTTAGTCTGATCTAAAGATGCTCATTAAGGCCTTGATCAGAGTCTAAAGCTCACATTAAAATAGATCTAATATTATATCAGTGGTTGACCTTCGGCTGGAAACATCCAGTCAAAGCTGCAACAGGCCTTCATGGTTCCTAAAGAAGGAATATTTCACCTTTAAAATATCTTCACCAAATCTCCCCTCCCCCCCCTCCCACACACACACACACACACACACACTCCTGCATAAAGTTGAACATTTTGAATCAAGAAAACTTTTCGTTAGAAGCATAATTTTCAATGATAAATAATATTTTGCTTCTATAGAAACAGGAAACATTCAGGCTGCGTCATTAAGGCGCTTTAATAAACATGATGAAGCTGAAAGGGTTAATCACGACTGGAAAAAGTTTCTTTGATTTAATTACTTCTAATGATCTGAAAATATTAAAATATTTATTATTTTGATCGTCTATATTTATTCTTTTATTTTTATCTTTTATATTTATTCTTTTATTTTTATCTTCTATATTGATTCTTTTATTTTTATCTTTTATATTTATTCTTTTATTTTTATCTTCTATATTTATTCTTTTTGTTTTATCTTTTATATTTATTGGACTCCAGAATAAAATCTTTTTCCACTGAGGATTTGTTTTAACACAACGTAATAATTTCATTATAAAACATAATTAAAAAAAACAACTTTACATGTAAAACAGTAAAAAAAAACAGTAAATAACATCGAAACAGATTAACTCTTAAAATCCTTTTTAAAATAAATCCTCGCGCAGTAAATTCTCATATGGAAATTATTGCTGTTTATAAATAAATAAATGATTTAAATGATTTTATTTGGTAATAATTTAGTTTATAAATTATTATATAAATTATAAATTATCTAAATTATTTGGTAATAATTTAGTTTATCTAAGGAGAAACTTTGCTTGGAGGCAAATAGCGCATCTAGAAGCATGAACCAAACCACAGCCTTCAACAACAATCTGCGCAAAAACACAGAAATTAAAAAGTTTCGCATTTTAAGCTTTTTTTTCTGCACCAAAAAAACAAAAAAACAAAAACAAAAACAAAAAAAAAAGAACAAAAGGAAAAGAACTAAAACTCACTCAAGCCTCAGAGGCCTCAGGAATCCCTGCGCCGGCGGCTGCAGCGAGCAAGGTGTCCCCCCCCCACCCCCCAGACACACACACACACCTCCCCTCCATCAGCATCTTCCTTCCAGCTCCACCACCAATCACCCAAACTCCACCATCAATCGCCCAAACTCCACCATCAACACCTCCGAGGCCAAAATCCCAGCCGTCGATCCGAGGAGCGCAGAAAGTGTCTCCCAGTCCGCCGCCTGCTTCCTCTGCGGCCGCCGCTGCTGTCTTGGACATAAGGGGAGAAAGACGCACACATCGCTCTCTGTTATCATTTTTTTCCCATGTTTGCAGCACAAAACTGCTTTTTGTTCCCCCCATTTTTTTCATTGACGAGGGTTAATGGATAGAGGCTTGGGCGTTTGATCACATGGCTGCAATTCACCTGAGATGCAGACAAAGAGAGCAAAGAGAAGCAGCGGGGAGAGAGAGCGAGAAACGGACACAGGGGTCATTGTTGTTTGGTGACTCTGTGTCTCATCAGATGCTGCTTCCCATCAGACTTTAACGGTTTACATCATGGAGGCAGAGCGCGATAATCCGCCATCAGCTGCAGACACGCAACAACTTTCCCAAAACCAAATATGCAATAAATTGGTTTATTAAACATCCTGTTGTTCTACCATCTTCATCTGAGAATAATAAAACGATTTCTTTATATAATTTTAAAATTAGATAAAAAAATATGCAGATTAAAACTCGAACAAAACAGTAATTGCTCATAAATAAATAAATAAATAAATAAATTCAGTTGTGCATCGATTAACGTTTCAATAAACACATTGTTTTTAGTTGCAAATGGAAAACAATGTGGAATAGAATAATAGAACAAAATAGAATAGAATAGAAATCCCTTTATTGTCCCAAAATGGGGAAATTTACAGCAGCAAAAAAAAAAAAGGTCACAGAAACGTGGACCTTAGAAAAAAATGTCTTAAATTAGCATAATAGTGAAGAGTTAAAAGATAAACAATAAAATCCTGTAAAGTGTTTTAATAATATTAAACTGGAGAATAAATAACCAACATGCAGCTATGGACATTTTTACAGTAATTTGAAAATAGCAGCAACATCGGAGATGAAAGCAGCAGGTTATTGAACTGACTGAGGTAGAAATCAGCATGAATGGAAGAACTGATCCAGGTTTTTGGATATTTGGAGAATTAAATTAGAGGATGAAAATATAACAGATGTAAACCTCAATGTTAACTTTGCATAAAATCTGCTGCACCAACATTTAATCCACTGGATCCGTTTTAGGAACATTAAAGTAAACTTTGTGTTGTTGTTTTTATTTTCAAAGAACAATCATATTTCTTCACTGCACATTTTAATGACTGTAAAAATAACCTAAGTTCTTGATAAAAGAAAGATTAACATATAAATGAGATTTAATCATCAAATTCAGCAGATCTGGTAACAAACACTCTATGAAAGCTAAACTTTATACATTAACATGTAAAAATAATTCATTCAGAAAATTGCTTTTGCAGGAAGTGACAAATGATCCGAGAATTTAAACCCATTAAATAATAGACTTTATTTAATAGATGCTGCACACACACCAAGTCTGAGGGACTTTTATAGTTGTAATGAAAAAAGTTAAAATGTTTGTTACAAAGTGATTTTGGAAACAGTGCCTTATAAATATCTGGGATATAAAAACATCTTTATTAGCATAAAAAATAATGAATTAAATGGATTTTATTTATTATGAATATAAATAAAATAAACTGTTTTTATTTAGGGGTGTCAGGGTCAAGAGTGAAAAAAGGGAAAATCATGTTATTTTGGGGAATTATAGTTTATTATTATTACATGTTATTAAAATCTATTGACTGTTTCAACATGAGTGGATTTCTGGCTAAAATAGTGATTTTTTTTTTCAGATAGATGCAGAAAAACATTTACTGCAAAGTTTCCTTCAAAAAATATGATTTTTTTTCTTCCGCAATTAAACTGAGCAAAAACTCTCCTCTCTAGTTTATAGAGAAACTCTCCTCTCTAGTTTATAGAAAAACTCTCCACTCTAGTTTATAGAAAAACTCTCCTCTCTAGTTTATAGAAAAACTCTCCACTCTAGTTTATAGAAAAACTCTCCACTCTAGTTTATAGAAAAACTCTCCACTCTAGTTTATAGAAAAACTCTCTTCTCTAGTTTATAGAAAAACTCTCCTCACTAGTTTATAGAAAAACTCTCCACTCTATATAGAAAAACTCTCCTCTCTAGTTTATAGAAAAACTCTCCTCTCTAGTTTATAGAAAAACTCTCCACTCTAGTTTATAGAAAAACTCTCCACTCTAGTTTATAGAAAAACTCTCTTCTCTAGTTTATAGAAAAACTCTCCTCTCTAGTTTATAGAAAAACTCTCCACTCTAGTTTATAGAAAAACTCTTCTCTAGTTTATAGAAAAACTCTCCTCTCTAGTTTATATAGAGGGTAGTTTATTTGTTTTGCTGCTAACAGAGGCGGCCTTCTCCTGCAGATAAATGGCGCACTGTGACGCTTTAAGGTAGAAATCTCACCTCTGCTCTGCAGCCGCGTCATGAAGCGACCAATCAGCGCGCAGAGCTGTGCGCAGGGGGCGGGGTTTAGCCGTGTACAGGAATGCTGTCTCTTTGGGAATGTTTTCCACTTTCAATCCCTTTTTTTTTCCTCCTCACAAGGCGCTCTTTAAGCTGCGCTGTTTGCACACAGAGCCGCCATTCATCGCCGCGCAGGCAGCCGCACCGGTAGGTTATGTCATTTTATAATATGCAGCAGAAATCACATTTATGGCAGCTCTAGAACATTTACAGTCAAACATGGTTGGATTTATTTATTTTTTAACCAATAATCTCGGATTTATTTTTAAATTATGTAGAAATGTTTTTTCAGAGCTGATAAATTTAATCTGTTTTCGTTTTCTGAGGTGAGATGATGTTAGTTTGTTTTTTTCTTTTTTTTTCTGACAAAACATTGTTTTTAATTATTATTATATTTATTTGAGTGTTTTTTCTCCTTTCTTTCTTTTTTTAGCTGCTATTTCTTCCCGATATCAAAGGATCCGATCTGGATGTTTGAGCTCATTATTATTATTATTATTTTTTGCAGTAATTCTTAACAGGAGGAACTTTTTAGCGAGTTAATTTTAAAAAAGAGAAACTTCTTTTTTAAACTGAATTTGCATTAAAAGTCAGTTTTTATGAGAATAAGCTCCTAGAAATCTCAGAATGTCTGGAGAGGAGCACAGCCTGTCCGAGTCAGAGCTCAGTCCTGGGGGGTCAGAGGAGGGCCACCCGCTCTCACCCGCTCACCCCGGAGCGCCGCCCGGACCGGGCTCCCCCCTCAGCGGGCCGCCGCAGCAGCTCACCGCGCTTTGCGTGGCGGATGCGGGCGGAGAGGACGGCGGCAGAGCTCGGGCCAAATCCGAGGAGGAGGACGAACGCTTTCCGATCGGCATCAGAGAGGCGGTCAGCCAGGTGCTGGACGGATACGACTGGACGCTCGTGCCAATGCCGGTGCGCGTGAACAACGGGAACAAGGCGAAGCCTCACGTGAAGAGGCCCATGAACGCCTTCATGGTTTGGGCTCAGGCTGCCAGGAGGAAGCTGGCTGATCAGTACCCCCACCTGCACAACGCAGAGCTCAGCAAGACCCTGGGCAAGCTGTGGAGGTGGGTGAAACCCTAACCCTGCTCCAGATTAGGATTTAATCTTAGATTATGGACACCGAATACACCAGCAGTCAGCAGGCTGATCTGATTTGAAGTCAAATAATAATAACAATGTTTATCATTTACTGAAGGATAAATGTGTCCTGGCTTTTCTGGCCCCCAGGCTGCTGAACGAAAACGACAAGAGGCCATTCATAGAGGAGGCAGAGAGGCTGAGGAAACAGCACAAGAAGGACTACCCAGACTACAAGTACCAACCCCGCAGACGTAAAAATGGCAAACTGACCCCCGCCAGCGAGTCTGACAGCCAGGGGGAAGGGGAGGCCAGCCACTCCCAGTCCCACTACAAGACCCTACACCTGGATCACAACGGTGGGGCCGGGTCTCCCCTGGGCGACCTGCACCACCACCACCACCACCACCATCCTGCAGGTCAGTAGAACCCTGAGCTATGACATCATCATCCTTAATCCCAGATCTATGGTTAAACTAAACCAGCAATGGACATGATGGCCATCCTTTGATAAAAGAGGAAATTATATTCTAGTTTAATCTGAACGGAACCCCAAATTTAACTTAGACACAAAGTTTGTTTAATCAAAGTTCCTTTGCTGAAATCTTTCATTTCTCAGACTCATCTCCACTTATTTAGATTGAAGTAAAGAAAGGAGCCGATTTCTATTGTCTTCAACCGATTTCAGCTCTAGCTGAGAATATCACTAAGAAAAAAGTCCAAAAACAGCAACAGACAAGCCGCAGTTCACCTGACGGTGCTGATCTGTCTCCTCTGTGTTTCAGGTCAGGGTCACAGCCCCCCCACACCCCCCACCACCCCAAAGACCGAGTTGCAATCTGGGAAACTGTCCGACTCCAAAAGGGAGGGTGCAACAGGAGCGGGCGGAGGATCTGGGGGCTCCCGGGGGGCCCTAGGAGTGGGAGCTGAGGGGGCGTCTGGAGGTCCGTCATCAAGCACCAAACCCCACATTGACTTCGGTACGATGGACATCGGGGAAATCAGCCACGAGGTGATGTCCAACATCGAGCCGTTTGACGTCAACGAGTTTGACCAGTACCTCCCTCCAAACGGGCACCCTCAGAGCGGCGCTGGGGGCCCGTCGGTCAGCTCGTCTGCCTCGTCCTATGCTTACGCCCTGGCTGCGGCTAGCGGCCACTCGGCTTGGCTCTCTAAGCAGCAGCAGCAGCCTCAGGCCTCCCCCTCGTCCTCCGATCCATCAAAAGCCCCCATCAAGAGTGAGTCTGCCACCGCCAGCCACTACGCAGAGGCTTCATCTTCCCCCTCCTCAGGTACCCACGTCACCTACACCCCGCTCAGCCTCCCCCACTATGGCTCTGCTTTCCCCTCGCTGGCCTCCAGGGCTCAGTTTGATTATGGAGACCACCAGGCCCCGGGGGCATACTACACCCACTCCAGCCAGGCCCCAGGGCTGTATTCAGCATTTTCCTACATGGGTCCCACACAGAGGCCCCTGTACACTACCATAGGAGACCCCTCCAGCGTGGCGCCCTCTCACAGCCCCACACACTGGGAGCAGCCTGTTTACACCACCCTCACCAGACCTTGAGGCGGAGCGGCTGAGCAGTGGGAAATATGGGAAGTTTCTGAGTGAATCTGTGGGAGAAACGTCTTTGAAACGAGGGACTGTGTGTTTCTGTGCCATATTAGCGGTTTTCTTTCATTTTTTATCCAACCTGATATAAAGCAAGAGATTAAAGGAAATGGAAAATCACGGGGCAACAGCCAATCAGAAACAGGAGAAGCCTAACCAATGTGTGCCACCCTGTAAAGCACTTGTATATACCTTAGAAGAAGTAGCAGAGGGAGAACTGGGATTGGACCAGTAAGCTGGACTCACCCGGAGGTGACGGGATTTTAGAACGACAGAATCTGATCTTATTAACCAAACTAAACAATTATTTGGTGTTTTTGTGTTCATGCCACCTGTACATTTATTTCCTTATCACTGGTGTAACTATCTTGGCACCATCGCTATGGAGAAAAGAAGGAGCAAGTTTTGCCTGTTTTCACATAAAACCTTGAGGTTGTTTGGTTGTTTTCTCTCATGGGCCATAAATGGACGGCTCAAACTTTTTTCTGTTTTGTGTTTTTCATTGTTGTTGTTCTGTAGATCGCTCAGCCTGTATTTCTTCCTTTTTGATGAACTAAATAAGCATGTATAACGGGGAAAACATAGGAAAAACACAGGGAAAGAGAGCTCTTAAAGACGTATGACTCTTTGGAGATTTACCTCAGTTCTGTTTGCTTTATGGCGATCACCGAGACTCCTGAACTATAAACGTAAAGCATTTTGTCGAGTTTTAAATGACAAACACTTTGATGGTTTATCCACTGCAGAAGTTGGATAAATGATCCAGAAGTCTGAACCAAATCTTTTGGGTAATTGCTGAGCTGTGGGAATTATTTTAGGATTAGAATCACATGTAGAAGGCTCTAGAAGTGCCTTTGCCTTCAGTTCTTTCCCTCTTTATCAACCTGAATAATGGTCATTACCACATGTTTGCCTTTATTACTTGACTCAGATGTTTTATACTGACCCTTTTAGCATGTTGTTGTTGTTTTATAATGCGAGTAATGATGCATCATGTGTCACATCTTTGCTTCTTCCATTTTGTATAATTCTGCTTAGTTTTGTAAAGTGTTTGGTATATACTTACTCAAGTATTTTTGCTTCCTTACAAAAAAGCAATGTTGAAATATTATTGTCATCTATTAAATCGATTTATTTATAAAAAAAAATGCATGTGAGAATCATTAAGAGCAATAAGGATATGAAGGGTGAAAAAAGTAAATAAAAAACACGGTGCTGACGTGTTAACTGGAATAACAACACAATCAGAGCCCCAGCAGCCTAAGCTGTTTACGGTGTTTGTGTGTGCGGCGTGAGGCTAAAATTGACTACTAATTCCCGGCGTTTAATCGGCTGGGGACTGCGTGTTACTGAGGGGCACAAAGGGAGCCTTTCAGTCAGCGATGCAGAAAGAGACAGAGAGGGAAGGAGGGAGGGTGCAAGGAGCCAGAGGCAAAGGAACCGCTGCACACTTGGACTTTTGTGCAGGGCTTTTCCTCTCACCCGTCTCTCCACCTGAGGCTCCCTGCTTCACATTCAGCTGCAGTTTCAACTCATTAGCAGGGCATCCAAAATTCAAATGTCAAGTTCAGTGCTGGGTCTGTGTTCCAGGATCATACCGGAGCAAACTTAAACCACTTTGGACATAAAATATAGAATTATGCAGCAAAAATATTCTAATCACTTGAATATTTCAGCATTTTCTAACTTTATAACCAAAGACTTCAGTCTTTTGAGGATTTTCTGTTGTTCAACAGTAGAGCAGGTTTTTTTTAAACTAAAATAGTAATTGAAACGGAAACAGTAAAGAAATCTGGATAAATATAAAAGCAGAGCGTTTCTCACTGTATGATTGTTTCTTTCTGACCCCCTCCTTTGCTCTTCTAGATGCTGTTTTTTCACTCCTTTCTTTTTCTCAATCAAATGAGGACTTCAGAGAAAAGCTGAGATAAAATGATGGTGTTTACGTCTGAAAGCAGCTTTCTACTGGACCTCATTTAAGTTTATCAGAGTAAATGCATAGAAACATTAAAAATGAAATATTATAAAAAATAACTTTCATAGATTAGGAAGGGGCTGTTATCTTCTCGAAAGGATCTGTATGAATATGAGACAAATTAATGTTAATTATCTGCAAATGGATTGCATCTATATTTATTCAGTAATAATATTATGATCTTATTTCCTTTGTAGATCAATATTTGGTCAATTTCCAGTTTTTAATGGCAGTAAATTATGATCATGCAAAACAAATGCTGAGGAAAGAAGCAGGTAAAATATGAAACTAAGTAAAAAAGAAAAGGATTAAGATGAGAGGCGGTTTAATACTAAAACTGAATTAAGATTAAAAACATAAACAAAAGAAAAAAACAGAAAAAATAAAAAACTGATGCTAAAACAATATAAAAATATCACAATCAAAACCCAAAGTTTATGCATAATCCTTCATTTATAACGTTTTCCAACATGTTAGCAATGAAAAGAGTTTGTGGGGAGAATAACAAAGTTTATTTTTTTTTTAGAAAAAAAGGGATAATTTTAAACAAAATGTTTTACTCAGGTTGATGGTTTAAAATGAAACGTATCAAAAACCAGAAATTTGATCAAATTTATCTTCAAAGCTCAGATCCTCCAGTGGTTCAACTTAAATCCAATCTCTTAGAAACATTATTTTTTTATTGGTTTAATTTATTTCACTCAGAAGAGGAGCATTTAATTCAACCAAAGGAAGTCATCAAATGAGCCGTTAACAAATACTTATGTTTGCAGAGCAAATTAAACTGGTGCATGTTTGAACATGTCTGACTCAGACAAACAAATCCCATCTGCTATAAACCTGATGGAATCAGCTTTCCAGTTAGCCTTTCTTCCATTGTTCCCAGTCTGACCGTTTCCAGTTAGCGTCTCTTCCATCGTTCCCAGTCTGACCGTTTCCAGTTAGCGTCTCTTCCATCGTTTCCCAGTCTGACCGTTTCCAGTTAGCCTCTCTTCCATCGTTCCCAGTCTGACCGTTTCCAGTTAGCGTCTCTTCCATCGTTCCCAGTCTGACCGTTTCCAGTTAGCGTCTCTTCCATCGTTCCCAGTCTGACCGTTTCCAGTTAGCGTCTCTTCCATAGTTTCCCAGTCTGACCGTTTCCAGTTAGTGTCTCTTCCATCGTTCCCAGTCTGACCGTTTCCAGTTAGCCTCTCTTCCATCGTTCCCAGTCTGACCGTTTCCAGTTAGCGTCTCTTCCATCGTTCCCAGTCTGACCGTTTCCAGTTAGCCTCTCTTCCATCGTTCCCAGTCTGACCGTTTACAGTTAGTGTCTCTTCCATCGTTCCCAGTCTGACCGTTTCCAGTTAGCGTCTCTTCCATCGTTCCCAATCTCTGACCGTTTTCAGTTAGTGTGTCTTCCATCATTCCCAGTCTGACCGTTTCCAGTTAGCGTCTCTTCCATTGTTCCCAGTCTGACTGTTTCCAGTTAGCGTTTCTTCCATCATTCCCAGTCTGACCGTTTCCAGTTAGCGTCTCTTCCATTGTTCCCAGTCTGACCGTTTCCAGTTAGCGTCTCTTCCATCGTTCCCAGTCTGACCGTTTCCAGTTAGCATCTCTTCCATCGTTTCCCAGTCTGACCGTTTCCAGTTAGCCTCTCTTCCATCGTTCCCAGTCTGACCGTTTCCAGTTAGCCTCTCTTCCATCGTTCCCAGTCTGACCGTTTCCAGTTAGCGTCTCTTCCATCGTTCCCAGTCTGACCGTTTCCAGTTAGCCTCTCTTCCATCGTTCCCAGTCTGACCGTTTCCAGTTAGCGTCTCTTCCATCGTTCCCAGTCTGACCGTTTCCAGTTAGTGTCTCTTCCATCGTTCCCAGTCTGACCGTTTCCAGTTAGCGTCTCTTCCATCGTTCCCAATCTCTGACCGTTTTCAGTTAGTGTGTCTTCCATCATTCCCAGTCTGACCGTTTCCAGTTAGCGTCTCTTCCATCGTTCCCAGTCTGACCGTTTCCAGTTAGCCTCTCTTCCATCGTTCCCAGTCTGACCGTTTCCAGTTAGCGTCTCTTCCATCGTTTCCCAGTCTGACCGTTTCCAGTTAGCCTCTCTTCCATCGTTCCCAGTCTGACCGTTTCCAATTAGCGTCTCTTCCATCGTTCCCAGTCTGACCGTTTCCAGTTAGCGTCTCTTCCATCGTTCCCAGTCTGACCGTTTCCAGTTAGCGTCTCTTCCATCGTTCCCAGTCTGACCGTTTCCAGTTAGCCTCTCTTCCATCGTTCCCAGTCTGACCGTTTCCAGTTAGTGTCTCTTCCATCGTTCCCAGTCTGACCGTTTCCAGTTAGCGTCTCTTCCATCGTTCCCAATCTCTGACCGTTTTCAGTTAGTGTGTCTTCCATCATTCCCAGTCTGACCGTTTCCAGTTAGCGTCTCTTCCATCGTTTCCCAGTCTGACCGTTTCCAGTTAGTGTCTCTTCCATCGTTCCCAGTCTGACCGTTTCCAGTTAGCCTCTCTTCCATCGTTCCCAGTCTGACCGTTTCCAGTTAGTGTCTCTTCCATCGTTCCCAGTCTGACCGTTTCCAGTTAGCGTCTCTTCCATCGTTCCCAATCTCTGACCGTTTTCAGTTAGTGTGTCTTCCATCATTCCCAGTCTGACCGTTTCCAGTTAGCCTCTCTTCCATCGTTCCCAGTCTGACCGTTTCCAGTTAGCGTCTCTTCCATCGTTCCCAGTCTGACCGTTTCCAGTTAGCCTCTCTTCCATCGTTCCCAGTCTGACCGTTTCCAGTTAGCGTCTCTTCCATCGTTCCCAGTCTGACCGTTTCCAGTTAGCGTCTCTTCCATCGTTCCCAGTCTGACCGTTTCCAGTTAGTGTCTCTTCCATCGTTCCCAGTCTGACCGTTTCCAGTTAGCGTCTCTTCCATCGTTCCCAGTCTGACCGTTTCCAGTTAGTGTCTCTTCCATCGTTCCCAGTCTGACCGTTTCCAGTTAGCGTCTCTTCCATCGTTCCCAGTCTGACCGTTTCCAGTTAGCGTCTCTTCCATCGTTTCCCAGTCTGACCGTTTCCAGTTAGTGTCTCTTCCATCGTTCCCAGTCTGACCGTTTCCAGTTAGCGTCTCTTCCATCGTTCCCAGTCTGACCGTTTCCAGTTAGTGTCTCTTCCATCGTTCCCAGTCTGACCGTTTCCAGTTAGCGTCTCTTCCATCGTTCCCAGTCTCTGACCGTTTTCAGTTAGTGTCTCTTCCATCATTCCCAGTCTGACCGTTTCCAGTTAGCGTCTCTTCCATCGTTCCCAGTCTGACCGTTTCCAGTTAGCGTCTCTTCCATCGTTCCCAGTCTGTGACCGTTTCCAGTTAGTGTGTCTTCCATCATTCCCAGTCTGACCGTTTCCAGTTAGCGTCTCTTCCATCGTTCCCAATCTCTGACCGTTTTCAGTTAACGTCTCTTCCATTGATCCTAGTTTGACCATTTCCAGTTAGTGTCTCTTCCATCGTTCCCAGTCTGACCAATTCCAATTAGTGTCTCTTCCATCGTTCCCAGTCTCTGACCGTTTCCAGTTAGTGTCTCTTCCATCGTTCCCAGTCTGACCATTTCCAATTAGTGTCTCTTCCATCGTTCCCAGTCTCTGACCGTTTCCAGTTAGCGTCTCTTCCATCATTCCCAGTCTGACCTTTTCCAGTTAGTGTCTCTTCCATCGTTCCCAGTCTGACCATTTCCAATTAGTGTCTCTTCCATCGTTCCCGGTCTCTGACCGTTTCCAGTTAGTGTCTCTTCCATCGTTCCCAGTCTGACCGTTTCCAGTTAGCCTCTCTTCCATCGTTCCCAGTCTGACCGTTTCCAGTTAGTGTCTCTTCCATCGTTCCCAGTCTGACCGTTTCCAGTTAGCGTCTCTTCCATCGTTCCCAATCTCTGACTGTTTTCAGTTAGTGTGTCTTCCATCATTCCCAGTCTGACCGTTTCCAGTTAGCGTCTCTTCCATCGTTCCCAGTCTGACCGTTTCCAGTTAGCGTCTCTTCCATCGTTCCCAGTCTGACCGTTTCCAGTTAGTGTGTCTTCCATCATTCCCAGTCTGACCGTTTCCAGTTAGCGTCTCTTCCATCGTTCCCAATCTCTGACCGTTTTCAGTTAACGTCTCTTCCATTGATCCTAGTTTGACCATTTCCAGTTAGTGTCTCTTCCATCGTTCCCAGTCTGACCAATTCCAATTAGTGTCTCTTCCATCGTTCCCAGTCTCTGACCGTTTCCAGTTAGTGTCTCTTCCATCGTTCCCAGTCTGACCATTTCCAATTAGTGTCTCTTCCATCGTTCCCAGTCTCTGACCGTTTCCAGTTAGCGTCTCTTCCATCATTCCCAGTCTGACCTTTTCCAGTTAGTGTCTCTTCCATCGTTCCCAGTCTGACCATTTCCAATTAGTGTCTCTTCCATCGTTCCCGGTCTCTGACCGTTTCCAGTTAGTGTCTCTTCCATCATTCCCAGTCTGACCGTTTCCAGTTAGTGTCTCTTCCATCGTTCCCAGTCTGACCATTTCCAGTTAGTGTCTCTTCCATCGTTCCCAGTCTCTGACCGTTTCCAGTTAGTGTCTCTTCCATCGTTCCCAGTCTCTGACCGTTTCCAGTTAGTGTCTCTTCCATCGTTCCCAGTCTGACCGTTTCCAGTTAGCGTCTCTTCCATCGTTCCCAGTCTCTGACCATTTCCATTTAGCGTCTCTTCCATTGTTCCCAGTCTGACCGTTTCCAGTTAGCGTCTCTTCCATCGTTCCCAGTCTCTGACCATTTCCATTTAGCGTCTCTTCCATCGTTCCCAGTCTGTGACCGTTTCCAGTTAGCATCTATTCCATCGTTCCCAGTCTCTGACCGTTTCCAGTTAGCGTCTCTTCCATCGTTCCCAATCTCTGACCGTTTCCAGTTAGCGTCTCTTCCATCGTTCCCAGTCTCTGACCATTTCCAGTTAGCGTCTCTTCCATTGTTCCCAGTCTGTGACCGTTTCCAGTTAGCGTCTCTTCCATCCTTCCCAGTCTCTGACCGTTTCCCGTTAGCGTCTCTTCCATCGTTCCCAGTCTGGGACCATTTCCAGTTAGCGTCTCTTCCATTGTTCCCAGTCTGTGACCGTTTCCAGTTAGCGTCTCTTCCATCATTCCCAGTCTCTGACTGTTTCCAGTTAGCGTCTCTTCCATCGTTCCCAGTCTGGGACCGTTTCCAGTTAGCGTCTCTTCCATTGTTCCCAGTCTGTGACTGTTTCCAGTTAGCGTCTCTTCCATCGTTCCCAGTCTGTGACCGTTTCCAGTTAGCGTCTCTTCCATTGTTCCCAGTCTGTGACTTTTTCCAGTTAGCGTCTCTTCCATCGTTCCCAGTCTGGGACCGTTTCCAGTTAGCGTCTCTTCCATTGTTCCCAGTCTGTGACTTTTTCCAGTTAGCGTCTCTTCCATTGTTCCCAGTCTGTGACTGTTTCCAGTTAGCGTCTCTTCCATCGTTCCCAGTCTCTGACCATTTCCAGTTAGCGTCTCTTCCAATGTTCCCAGTCTCTGACCGTTTCCATTTAGCGTCTCTTCCATCGTTCCCAGTCTGTGACCGTTTCCAGTTAGCGTCTCTTCCATCGTTCCCAGTCTCTGACCGTTTCCCGTTAGTGTCTCTTCCATCGTTCCCAGTCTCTGACCGTTTCCAATTAGTGTCTCTTCCATCGTTCCCAGTCTGTGACTTTTTCCAGTTAGCGTCTCTTCCATTATTCCCAGTCTCTGACAGTTTCCAGTTAGCGTCTCTTCCATTATTCCCAGCCTGTGACCGTTTCCAGTTAGCGTCTCTTCCATCGTTCCCAGTCTGACCGTTTCCAGTTAGCGTCTCTTCCATCGTTCCCAGTCTGACCGTTTCCAGTTAGTGTGTCTTCCATCATTCCCAGTCTGACCGTTTCCAGTTAGCGTCTCTTCCATCGTTCCCAATCTCTGACCGTTTTCAGTTAACGTCTCTTCCATTGATCCTAGTTTGACCATTTCCAGTTAGTGTCTCTTCCATCGTTCCCAGTCTGACCAATTCCAATTAGTGTCTCTTCCATCGTTCCCAGTCTCTGACCGTTTCCAGTTAGTGTCTCTTCCATCGTTCCCAGTCTGACCATTTCCAATTAGTGTCTCTTCCATCGTTCCCAGTCTCTGACCGTTTCCAGTTAGCGTCTCTTCCATCATTCCCAGTCTGACCTTTTCCAGTTAGTGTCTCTTCCATCGTTCCCAGTCTGACCGTTTGCAGTTAGTGTCTCTTCCATCGTTCCCAGTCTGACCATTTCCAGTTAGTGTCTCTTCCATCGTTCCCAGTCTCTGACCGTTTCCAGTTAGTGTCTCTTCCATCGTTCCCAGTCTCTGACCGTTTCCAGTTAGTGTCTCTTCCATCGTTCCCAGTCTGACCGTTTCCAGTTAGCGTCTCTTCCATCGTTCCCAGTCTCTGACCATTTCCATTTAGCGTCTCTTCCATTGTTCCCAGTCTGACCGTTTCCAGTTAGCGTCTCTTCCATCGTTCCCAGTCTCTGACCATTTCCATTTAGCGTCTCTTCCATCGTTCCCAGTCTGTGACCGTTTCCAGTTAGCATCTATTCCATCGTTCCCAGTCTCTGACCGTTTCCAGTTAGCGTCTCTTCCATCGTTCCCAATCTCTGACCGTTTCCAGTTAGCGTCTCTTCCATCGTTCCCAGTCTCTGACCATTTCCAGTTAGCGTCTCTTCCATTGTTCCCAGTCTGTGACCGTTTCCAGTTAGCGTCTCTTCCATCCTTCCCAGTCTCTGACCGTTTCCCGTTAGCGTCTCTTCCATCGTTCCCAGTCTGGGACCATTTCCAGTTAGCGTCTCTTCCATTGTTCCCAGTCTGTGACCGTTTCCAGTTAGCGTCTCTTCCATCATTCCCAGTCTCTGACTGTTTCCAGTTAGCGTCTCTTCCATCGTTCCCAGTCTGACCGTTTCCAGTTAGCGTCTCTTCCATTGTTCCCAGTCTGTGACTGTTTCCAGTTAGCGTCTCTTCCATCGTTCCCAGTCTGTGACCGTTTCCAGTTAGCGTCTCTTCCATTGTTCCCAGTCTGTGACTTTTTCCAGTTAGCGTCTCTTCCATCGTTCCCAGTCTGGGACCGTTTCCAGTTAGCGTCTCTTCCATTGTTCCCAGTCTGTGACTTTTTCCAGTTAGCGTCTCTTCCATTGTTCCCAGTCTGTGACTGTTTCCAGTTAGCGTCTCTTCCATCGTTCCCAGTCTGTGACCGTTTCCAGTTAGCGTCTCTTCCATCGTTCCCAGTCTCTGACCGTTTCCAATTAGTGTCTCTTCCATCGTTCCCAGTCTGTGACTTTTTCCAGTTAGCGTCTCTTCCATCATTCCCAGTCTCTGACAGTTTCCAGTTAGCGTCTCTTCCATTATTCCCAGCCTGTGACCGTTTCCAGTTAGCGTCTCTTCCATCGTTCCCGGTCTCTGACCATTTCCAGTTAGCGTCTCTTCCATCATTCCCAGTCTCTGACAGTTTCCAGTTAGCGTCTCTTCCATTATTCCCAGCCTGTGACCGTTTCCAGTTAGCGTCTCTTCCATCGTTCCCGGTCTCTGACCATTTCCAGTTACAGTCTCTTCCATTGTTCCCAGTCTGTGACCGTTTACTGTTAGCGTCTCTTCCATTATTCCCAGCCTGTGACCGTTTCCAGTTAGCGTCTCTTCCATCGTTCCCAGTCTCTGACCTCTTCCAGTTAGCGTCTCTTCCATCGTTCCCAGTCTCTGACCGTTTCCAGTTAGCGTCTCTTCCATCGTTCCCAGTCTCTGACCGTTTCCAGTTAGCGTCTCTTCCATCGTTCCCAGTCTCTGACCGTTTCCAGACAGCGTCTCTTCCATTGTTCCCAGTCTGTGACCGTTTCCAGTTAGCGTCTCTTCCATCGTTCCCAGTCTCTGACCGTTTCCAGTTAGCGTCTCTTCCATCATTCCCAGTCTCTGACCGTTTCCAGTTAGCGTCTCTTCCATCATTCCCAGTCTCTGACCGTTTCCAGTTAGCGTCTCTTCCATCGTTCCTAATCTCACCGTTTCCAGTTAACATCTCTTCCATCGTTCCCAGTTAGCGTCTCTATGTTTGGCTCTCTTCTAACTCAAAACTATGTAAAAAAAGTTGCTTTAACCGATTTAGTTGGATTTTGCTGAAGCAATAGTCCAGATGTTGGTTTATAAGCATCTGTGGTTTCTTTAGAAGGATTATTAAAGTGTTCCTTACTGTTTCATGCTCTAGTAGATTTGTGCTTGATGTTAGATTTATGCCTTGATTAATCAATTCTATTCAGTTTATTTCTATAGCTCTAATTCACACCATGTCGTTGCAGGTCACTTTATAGATCCAAATCATCCAGATCATGTCTCATTCTCCTGTGATCTCTCCATAGTATTGAAAATGTCAAAATAAAGACCACTAGAACCTAAAAATAAAAAATGGTAGATTAGTGTATTGCTTCTAGACACACACACACACACACACACACACACACACACACACACACACACACACACACACACACACACACACACACACACACACACACACACACACACACACACACACACACACACACACACACACACAAACAGACAGCTTGGGGTTCAGTTTTTGCCAATTATTCTTAAATACTTCTATAAATACTGATCTATAACAGCATTTTATTCTGTATTCATTTTGATTCCTTACTAACTTCCATGGTCATAAAAGGTCAGAAAGGTTAGATAACACTGATCTAAGTTTTCCCATTCTAGCTTCCAAGGCTGCTGCAGTTGGACTTCCGGTCCAGGTGGGGGCGCTACTTCCTCTGAGAATTCAAAGTAGTGGCGGGAAACCTGCGCCGGAATAGACCCTGGGAGGGCGGGGGAAGCCAGGAGGAGCTGCCGCCATCAGGTTTCTGCTTTAGATTAATTTCCTGTTTTCTTCTAATAAAAATATCCGCAGCGCTGCTGCCTGCAGCATAGAGCTAGAGTCCATAGAAGCAGAGCCATGGAGGAACTGCTGAGGCGCTTTGAAACGGACAGTGGAGGAAGCTCCAGGCTGAGCTCCTCCATCCCCGCTGCCTGCCGCTCTGAGGACTGCTGCCTGGGGGTGGATGAAGCCGGCAGAGGGCCTGTCCTCGGTAAATAATCTACCTTAATCTGCTTCAATCTGGGAGATTAAAAGACAACTTTTCACAGAAACGGCTTCAATTCGAAGAGACTATATAACTGAATAAAACAAGTTAATCCTTATGGAATAAATGCCAATATTCTAGTCAGTTTATTTCTATAGCACCAATTCACAGGTCACTTTATAGATCCAGATCATCCAGTCAGATTGATTCAAAGCTTTCTAGGGAAAACCAGCTGATTGACTCTATTATTTCCATTTCTAGAGTAATGATGAATGTGTGAGAAAGCGGATCTAATCTGGTGTTTCTGCTCCAGGGCCCATGATCTATGGGATCTGTTTCTGTCCACTTTCTAAGAAGGAGGAACTGAAAGACCTGAAAGTTGCAGGTATGAAGAAATGCTGGAAACTCACCTGATGTGCTTAAAATAATCCGTTTTTTAAATAATCCGTTTTTTAAATAATCCGTTTTTAAAATAATCTGTTTTTAAAATAATCAGTTTTTTAAATAATCTTTTTAAAATAATCTGTTTTTAAAAAAATCTGTTTTTAAAATGATCTGTTTTTAAAATGATCTGTTTTTGACATAATCTGTTTTTAAAAAATCTGTCCAGTTGTGGTTTTTAAAGTGTTTTCTGTGTTTCAGATTCAAAGACTTTAACTGAGGCTGAAAGAGAGAATCTGTTCCAGAAAGTGGATGAAGCTCAGAGCTGGCTGGGCTGGGCGGTGCAGATCCTTTCTCCTAACATGATCTCCACCAGCATGCTGCAGCGGTGGGTTAGAGATCACTGACATCTGGTTCATCTACATCTACACTAACCTGACTGATATCTGGTTCACCTACATCTACACTAACCTGACTGACATCTGGTTCATCTACATCTACACTAACCTGACTGACAGCTGGTTCACCTACATCTACACTAACCTGACTGACGTCTGGTTCACCTACATCTACACTAACCTGACTGACGTCTGGTTCACCTACATCTACACTAACCTGACTGACATCTGGTTCATCTACATCTACACTAACCTGACTGACAGCTGGTTCACCTACATCTACACTAACCTGACTGACGTCTGGTTCACCTACATCTACACTAACCTGACTGACGTCTGGTTCACCTACATCTACACTAACCTGACTGACGTCTGGTTCACCTACATCTACACTAACCTGACTGACATCTGGTTCATCTACATCTACACTAACCTGACTGACATCTGGTTCATCTACATCTACACTAACCTGACTGACATCTGGTTCATCTACATCTACACTAACCTGACTGACATCTGGTTCATCTACATCTACACTAACCTGACTGACATCTGGTTCACCTACATCTACACTAACCTGACTGACATCTGGTTCATCTACATCTACACTAACCTGACTGACATCTGGTTCATCTACATCTACACTAACCTGACTGACATCTGGTTCACCTACATCTACACTAACCTGCTCTGCTTCTCTCTTCCAGGACTAAATACAACCTGAACGCCCTTTCTCATGACACCGCCATTGCTCTGATTCAGCACGCGCTGGACAGCGGCGTTCAACTCAAAGAGGTATGAGCCGCTGCATCATTAGCTAAGACCCCCCCCACCCGACCGCCATGCTGAATGCTGGACGCCTGCAGGTTTACGTGGACACCGTGGGCCCGGCAGAGAAGTATGAGCAGAAGCTCTCCCAGCGGTTCCCAGGCGTCCAGGTGACCGTGAGGCCCAAAGCCGACTCCCTCTTCCCTGTGGTCAGCGCCGCCAGCATCTGTGCCAAGGTCAGTCACCCCATGAGGCTGTGATTCGGCCATCTTGCTTCCCTCAGCCTCTCTTTAAACCTAAATCCTGCATTAGGCCTTGAAGATAAATGGTTTAATTAATAAATGATGCTGTATAAACGCAGCGCGTTATTAAGGCTGTTTTGGTGCCATTCATCTTGTACAGCCTGAATTATTCAGATTTTACCTGCAGTTTTCCAAACGTAGAGTTGATGGTTTGATAACAGCAGCAGCTTTTTACCAGCTTCTCTCAATGTTTCATTCATTCAGTTTATTTCTATCGTGCCAATTCCCACCATGTCCTCTCAGACACCTGATCAGCTTTGGTTTGAGCAGCTCCTCCGTTAACTTTGGAAATTACTGAGAGCTAAAAGAAGCAATGAGAAGAAGAAGAAGTTAGACCAGAATATGAGATTCTTTCACAAGATGTCGGATGGACGATCCGTCCTGCAGATGAGCGCAGAGATATGCATCCGGGTTTCCATAAATCATGTATTTATGGTTCTAGAATCACTTCTGTCCTCTAAAGAATGCTAATACACATCTTTAAATAAAGTTTCTGACTTTTCTGATGTCCTTTTTCTGATATCCGATTTCCGTTACACAGCTTCTCTGACGTCATCATGGGACATCAGAGCAGTCAGGCTAAATTCACTTCTATTCAGTGTATTTCTATAGCTCCAATTCACATCATGTGATCTCAGGTCACTTTCCAGTTCACCAGATCATCCAGTCAGATTGATTCAAAGTTTTCTATCTAAGGAAAACCAGCTGATTGCATCGACTCATTGACTCTTCAGCAATCCCTCACACTAAGCATGCTTGTAGCGACAGTGGAGAGGAAAAACTCCCTTTGAACAGGAAGAAACCTCCAGCAGAACCAGGCTCAGTGTGAGCGGCCATCTGCTGAGGCCCACTGGGGTTCAAGGAGACAGAAGCAGAAATGAATACGTTCACTGTTAAATTTCTGCCTTAAGAAATTAAACTAGGCCTCCCCATTCACCCCCCCCCCCACCCCCCCACACACACAGTCCGGTCAGGGTTGTGGGGCCTGGCCCTATCTCCAGCAGTCTATGGGTGGGGGGGCAGGGTCACCCTGGAGAAGTTGCCAATCTATTGCATTGGCACTGACTGCGGGAGGAAGCTGGAGTACCTGGAGAGAACCCACGCACGCTCAGGGAGAACTTGGAAACTGCAGGCAGACAGAACCCAGGAATCAAACCCAGAACCTTCAGGCTGCCCACTGGATCACTGTGAAGTCGTCCATATTTGATCTAATTTATCCTAAAAGCTTTAGTTCAGGAAACGGAACAGATAATAAATGAAAAAGATGTTTTGGTTTTTCTGCCTCAGGTTCAAATTCTTTGTGAAACTTTTTCACATTTAATAGATTTTTACTCTTTGATTGATTTTCATTAGAGAAATGGAATCAACTGAACAGAAGGCTAATAATCAGAGACGTTTCTCATGAAAGCAATTTTTCTATCTTCACCTGAGGGGGTCGCTCCCTTTGCTGCTCTTTTCCTTCATCATGTGGAGCCCTGAAGATCCTCCATGTCTGCCGCCATTTTTATTTAACACGCCACTCAGCAGGGTTAGGGTTTCCATCATGCATTCAGATCTGAATGGATTTCTTTCACTCATTGATGAACAGGAGCAACTGAAAGCTAAACATTCAGGAAAAAGTTGCTGTTTTTTTGTTGTTGCTGGCTTTAAAATGTTTGGATTTATTAAATAAATAAATTTTCTCTGACATAAAGGATTCTCTGAGCCGTAGGTTAGTTTTACATTCTGCTGTGTGGCTTTCAGGTGGCCAGAGATCGGCTGGTAAAAGGCTGGACCTTTGCAGAGGATCTGGGCGAGATGGACAGCGATTACGGTTCAGGATACCCCAACGGTAGCAACGCCCACATGCTCACACCGCCGCCATCCTCATATTTCCAACCTGAGGCTTAGAAATACACATGGTTTAGAACAAAGTTCAAGTTTTTCTGTTTTTGTGTCTGTAGACCCTAAAACCAAAGAGTGGCTGCTGAAGTACCTGGACCCGGTGTTTGGTTACCCTCAGTTTGTTCGTTTCAGCTGGAGCACAGCTCAGACTCTCATGGACAGCAGGGCGGTTACCGTCCACTGGTAGGAAGCCTCCTTTAAACCACTGATTTATGAAATAATCTGCTTTTATGGACCTTATTTGGAGAATTGGATATTCTTTACCTTCTGGCCTGAGAAGTTTCTCCAGACATTAAACCTTTTTTGGTTTATTTCTCTTAAACTGTCATGAGAAAGATCTGCAGGAAGGGAAGTTTCTATAAAAGAAGGAAAGCACAGATCTACAGAATGTCTGTGAAATCTAGTTCTAACCGTGACGTTAAAAACTCCCTGTGTCCTCAGGGACGATGATGAGGAGGATGGAGAGAAGGCGGCGCAGAGGCAGAACAATCGCTCCATGTTGTCTTATTTCAGTTCATCAGCAGAGGGCGCCAGAGGGCAGCAGACACACCGCTTCTTCACTGAACGGAGGCTGAAGAGCTTAACGTCCCTCTGAAAGCTTTTAAAAGTTCATTTACAGGATAATCTTCTGGATTTAACAGCATAAAACATCAATTACTGATTTATCATCTGAATAAATATTTTTTATTTACATAAAAAATGCAAACAAGTTTGGTTTCTTCAAAGTCTTGCAGGTTTCAATTGCGATGCTGCCCCCTGCTGCCCGAAAACCGACATACCATCAGATAGAAAAGATGAGAAAAATTTTTTCCTTCAAGGCATCATGGATAAATTTATCTTTTTATTTTTATCTCAGCCTGAGGCAGACTAGCCGGGTCACATGGATCAGGGAGCGATTTTCACTAAATAACACACACACACACATATATATCCATGTAATCCATACCATAATCTAAAGTTAGCTCTTCGAAATGAGTCATTTCTTTCTTTCCAGGTGAAATAATGAATCATTGCTCCTTTAATTAGCATATCAAACATATTCTAACATCTTCACCTTTAAGCTTCTCTACGCCTTCAGGGAAAAACAGTTTTTCATTTAGTTGTAAACATCCTAACGTTGTGGCGTGTGGAAAAACGTCCTGAATGGCGAAATAATCCATCCAGGCCTCTTAGTTTCCATTCAGTGTTTTTCCTGGAATCCTGGATCCTCTTCCCATAGTTCATAGCTACGGTGGAGATGGCAAACGAAGAAAGAATAACGATGGAAGTCCACACAAAGTAGGAAGACGTCCCTCTGGGAGCCGCTCCCGTGCTTCTGTGGGGTCCGGTCCGTCTGTGGGAGGCTGAGCTGGAGGTCAGTGTCTGGCCAGCAGGAGCATCCATGTTTAGAGTGAAAAATCCAGAGTTTCAGGTCTGGATTAGATGTGAATAATCCTTAATCCCTTCATCCATTTATAACCTTTCTTGCTGCGTCAGTAGGATCAACGATAATTGGATCCCATTGAGGCGTCGGTGGGCTGAGCAGGAAGGAACTGATTTACCGTTTGCAGACTGCTTTATAAACCTGGACCTGTAATACACTGCTAAAGAAAATTAAAGGAACACTTTGAAAACACATCAAATCTCAATAGGGAAAAAATCCTGCTGTTTTTTTTTATCCTGATATGGAATGGGTGATGTGTTAGGAACAAAGGGATGCTGCATCATTTGATGGAAATGAATGATCAACCTACAGAGGGTTGAACTCAAAGACACCCAAAAATGACAGTGAAAAAATTATGCAGCAGGTTAGTCCATTCTGCAGAAATTTCATTGCAGCAACTAAAATGTTATTCAGTAATTTTAATGCCCACCATGTGCGTGTATGCAGGCCTGACAATGTCGAGGCGTGTTCCTAATGAGACGACGGATGGCGTCCTGAGGTATCTCCTCCCAGATCTTTTAGAAGTGCTCTCCTACAGAGCACTTCGCTCTCAATCTGCAGGTTTACTAGTGGTTCCTAGAATTTCTAAAAGTAGAATGGGAGGCAGATCTTTTAGTTCTCAGGCTCCTCTCCTGTGGAACCAACTACCAGTTTTAGTCCGTGAGGCAGACACCCTGTCTACTTTTAAGGCTAGGCTTAAAACTTTCCTTTTTGATAAAGCTTCTAGTTAGAGTGGCTCAGGTTATCATGAGCTATCTCTATAGTTCTGCTGCTATAGGCTTAGACTGCTGGAGGACATAGGGACCCCTTCTTCATCATTCTGCTTCATTCTATCTCTATTCTCCCACTCTGCAGAATCTGTTAGTTCAATCTCTAACGTTCTGCTCTCTCTGCTTTTTCTCATAGTAGCTTCATCTGGTCTGTTCCTGTTTGGCTGTGACTCCATCCTGGAGAGAAATATCAGCTGTGCTGCTGCCATCAACACCTTTGTTTCTAGATGTTGGAGCCTGGCCTGTTTTCCAGTGTAGTCCTGTTTCTCTGACTGTGACTAACTGGATGTGCTCTCTTCATCCTCTGACATGGGAGCTGGCTCGGAGCTCGTCTGCCTGGCTGTGTGTTTCCTGGACGGGGCTGGTTGACAGTTGCCTTTTGTATCTATGCTTCTTTTTCTATGTCTGCTTCTGTCTCCTTGAACCCCAGTGGGCCTCAGCAGATGGCCGCTCACACTGAGCCTGATTCTGCTGGAGGTTTCTTCCTGTTCAAAGGGAGTTTTTCCTCTCCACTGTCGCTACAAGCATGCTTAGTGTGAGGGATTGCTGAAAAGTCAATGAGTCGATGCAATCAGCTGGTTTTCCTTAGATAGAAAACTTTGAATCAATCTGACTGGATGATCTGGTGAACTGGAAAGTGACCTGAGATGACATGATGTGAATTGGAGCTATAGAAATAGACTGAATAGAAATAAACTGAATGAGTGACTTTCACCAGAGCTGTTTCAGTGCTATGATGAGCTCTAAAGCCAGACTGAAACTCTTCCAAAAGTTCATTATTGTGGAAGTGATCGCAGAGTTTTTGGCAACTACTTTCTCAAGGATTTTAGATCAGAAAGGAAGATTGGATATAGGTCTATAATTGACCAAGGAAGAACCGTCCAGCAGAACCAGGCTCGGTGTGAGCGGCCATCTGCTGAGGCTGCTTTGTAAACTGATTTCCTTTCTGCAGAATGGACTTGAATCTTTCCATCTGCTTTCCATCATTTTTTTAGGTGTGCAGCAGCAATTTCTTTCCTTTTCTGTTGCAGCAAAATCAGGATGTTGTTCAACTTTATAAAACAGGCAACAGAGGTTTTAAGCTTTTTCCAACATGAAAAATAATTAATCAGGTTTAAGCATTTTATGATTCCTTCACAACAACACTTACTGGTAGGTCCCTTTTGACCTGCGGGTCATCTGCAGGAATTACATGGTGATTTTTTTCATTTTTTTTTTCATTTTTTTTCTATAATATTTTTGGTGCTGTAGACACCAGAACTTCCCCATTGAGGGACAATTAAGGGATTCTATTCTATTCTGATCTGTGGAGAAATTCAGGTCCCTTTATCCATCTCTTCCATGTGAGAAACTCCTGAGCCCTCATGCATCTGGATGCATCATCTGCAGGATCCTCCTGAAGGAAACTTCTCCACCGACTCACATCTGTTGCCTCTCGGATGACGGATCTGTTTGCAACAAAGGTGTGAAATCTTCTGGTTTCACTGGAGATGCATTTAGGTACTGTTATACAATCAATCCAGAAAACAGGTTTTTCTGCATTTGTAGCTTTTTGCAGCGGTCTATTCACCCAGACAGCGGGAACAGCAGCGGTCAGTTCCAACCTGATGATTTTCATTTGCTTCATAGGAGAAATTCTTGCTTTTCCTAGAATGAAAGCAACATTTGATATTTTATTCTTTTCCGGTGTTAAGTCTGACTCTGTTCCACAGCCATCTTGACTTGCATCATAGAAATGATGAAGTTGTGCTTTTGACAAAACGCTCCTTCTATTCTGCAGACAGGTCTGCTGCACTGAGGTTCTGAACTTCAACTCGTCTGTTTCAAACCTCTGGAAACCCACTACTCTCTCAGCTGGAAGTTGATCTGAGTCCAAATCCAGATTCTTAATTTCTTTTGCTCTCCTTTCCTCTGGGGTTGACATGAGGACTGTGCGCCTGTTGCTGATTTGAAAGCAGAGGTCTGCCAGCCTCTTTCCTCTGCTTCTTCATAAACAGTCATCCACATATAAGTTATTTTTGAGTTTATCAACCGCTTCAGCTGCAAACTATTGTGCGTTATCATCAGCAGTTCTTTGCCGCTAGGAGAAGACACTGCTCCAAATAAATGAACCAACATCCTGACCTGCAGGTTTTGAAGTGTCACCATGATCCCACCACAGGAAATGGAGCTAGTTGACATTTTTTTCAGAGTCGTAAACTTGGTGAAACATGGCGTCAATGTCTGCCATCAGTGCAACAGGCTCTTTTCCGAATCTGATGAAGACTCCAACCAGAGAGTTTGTGAGATCCGGTCTCTGTAGAAGCTGACTGTTCAGTGATGATCCACAATCAATACAACTTTCAACTTGCCTTTTGTGGGATGATGCCCTCCATGATGAGGAATGTGCTACAGTTGTCCATCACCTTTCTGTAGCTCATCTGCTGGTAGTTTCAGCGTGTCCATGTTGCAGCATCTTGTTAACACATGCAGTGTCCTGAGCATCCAATTCAAATTTCCTCCTGAGACTCTGGAGATGCTGCTCTGCAAAATGTTATTTGGCAAGCTGGGACTTTCACTCCTGAAAGGCAAGTCAATATGATAATGACCTCCAACAAGATTTGTTGAGTTATTAACATCCATCCATCCATTTTCCGTCACCCTTATCCCTGCTGGGGTGTGGGGGGTGCTGGTGCTGGCCCGGGAATTTAACCCAGAACATCCTTGCTGCACGGCAGCAGGGCTACCTACTGTACCGCTGATCAGCCCGAGTTATTAACAATGTGGATGAAAAGACATTTCTGTTGTCTTCCTTTGGTTAAAATCCTGATTGTTGAGTTTGAGCAGCAGAAGCTCAGCAGAGATCCTGTTACAGCAGAGCAGACATTTTTATTTCTGCTGTTGCTTCCAGTGTACAGGGGACCATTTATTAGTTTTTACAGCATAAGTCCCACCAGCCACACTGTTGATCACCTCCCAGGGCTCTAAAACATTGGAAGCATCAGTTCCTATCAGTAGTTCCACATCTGGATTGATGTTATGAAGCTAAACAGGTTTTAGATGAGGCCACTAATCAATGTCCTTTTGCTGGGAATATTCAATAAAGAAACTGGCATGGTACTTTGATTAAAAACATCTGGCTATGAAGTCATTTGTTTTCAATTCAAAGACTTCCAAACCAGACAAAACTTGCACATTAACAATCTTATTCTGCTTCATTGTTTCCAGCAGATTATTTGTCCTTTTTTTCCTTTAAGTTCAGTTTTTGTTAGTTTCTTTACAGAAAGTTCTTGAACTTCCTGGATCAAGAAATGCATAAGTTTGTACAACTTTGTTGCTCTTTTGAATTTAATTTTAACAATAGAGAAAACAGCATCATCACGGCCCTGATATGACCACATGTCTGAGTGGTTGCATTTGAGAGGTTGACCTTGTTGTCTGTTGGATTTGTTCTGAAGAGGCTCCTGGTTTCTTTTATCTCTATGAACCTCTGGATGCTTCTGGTGACACGTTTCAATCCAAACGACTCCTGCAGTCTTTGCTTGTGTGACTTTCAGACAACCAACACATTTTCAGACAAATCCCCTTTTTTGATGAAGGTCAACTTGTCTCAATGCTTTTTAGCTTTAAACTGCACAGTTTTCCGATAGATAATTTATTTGTAAACAAAACAAGCAGCTGTGAAGAACAGTAGACCTGGGGCCTGTTTCAATAAGGAAGTTCAACCAACTCTGAGTTAAACCTAATTTAGTTTTCATGGATAGGTGCAATCCTGCAGGCATCAAAAGAACATGGCAGCAGCTGAAAATGAAATATAAAAACATACTTCAAGCAGGTAAGCCTTGAGCACATCATGGGAGTAGAGTAGCTACCTGGCTTTACAAACATTTGACATATTAAATTAGTAAATTGCATTCAGTGTCTAGCAGTGCAGCAGCATTTTTGACATAGGTCTAAATGTTCATTCTCATTTGACTTCTACTCAGCCAACAGAAAGAAGGCAGAGGCTTGTAAAACAGGGGGAGGACCTGCACCACCACCCCTGACAAATGCAGAAAATGTTTGCCGGGGGCCAGAACGGGCGACATCAAATCCTACCTGAAACTACTGGCTAAGGATAAGGTTAAATACAGTAAGATTGTTATTCACGCTGGTGGTAATGACACCCGGTTACGCCGATCGGAGGTCACTAAAATTAGTGTTGCTTCGGTGTGTAAGTTTGCCAAAAAAATGTCGGACTCCGTAATTTTCTCTGGTCCCCTCCCTGATCTGACCAGTGATGACATGTTTAGCCGCATGTCGTCATTCAACCGCTGGTTGTCTAGGTGGTGTCCTGAAAACAACGTGGGCTACATTAATAATTGGCAATCCTTTTGGGGAAAGCCTGGTCTGATTCGGAGAGACGGCATCCATCCCACTTTGGATGGTGCAGCTCTTCTTTCTAGGAATCTGGCCACATTTATTAGTCCTCCAAAACCCTGACCATCCAGGGTGCAGACCAGGAAGCAGAGTTGTAGTTTAACACACATCTCTGCAGCTTCTCTACTGTTACCCACTCTTTACTCCATCCAGACAGTGTCTTGCCCACGACCAAAATCTAATAAATTAGCAAAGATTCCCAAAGGAGTAAATCATGATAATCTAATTAAAATCAAAATAACTTCAATTGGGGAAAAAGTTAAAACAATTAAATGCGGTCTGTTTAACATTAGATCGCTTTCCTCTAAAAGTCTGCTAGTTAATGACTTGATTTGTGATAATCACATTGACTTGTTTTGCCTTACAGAAACCTGGCTGCAGCAAGAGGATTATGTGAGCATAAATGAGGCAACTCCTTCAAGCTATTTAAATTTTCACATACCCAGAAGTTCTGGGCGAGGAGGAGGAGTAGCAACAATCTTCCAGTCTGACTTACTGATTACTCCCAAAACAGTTAATACCTACAACTCTTTTGAACATTTAACCCTTCATTTCCCTGATCCAAATTTCAAGGCAAGAAAACCTCTTCTTTTTGTAACTTTGTATCGTCCACCAGGTCCCTACTCTGAATTTTTAGATGAGTTTTCAGAGTTCCTTTCTGATTTGGTATTAAATACTGACAGGGTCATAATAGTGGGAGATTTTAACATCCATGCTGACATTGAAGGCGATAGCTTAAGAGCAGCCTTTAATGCTATCTTAGACACTATTGGCTTTGTTCAAAATGTGAATAGTCCCACACATTCTCATCTTCATACTTTGGATCTTGTGCTGACATACGGCATAGAATGTGAAGAAATAACAGTATTTCCTCACAACCCTGTCCTCTGACCACTTTCTAATAACCTTCAGGATTACTTTAACAGAGTTCTCCTCCCCCAAAAGAAGGTTCAATTTTAGTAGATCTTTATCAGATAGTGCAGTTATAAATTTTAAAGAATCTGCTTCACTTTCTCTCTCCTCTGTGTCACTGAGCAGTGCTGCAGAGTGCAAAAGCATAGCTTATTCCCTTCACAGGTTGATGATTTTGTTGATGGGGTTGCTAGTTCTCTGCGTACTGCCTTAGACAACGCAGCTCCTTTGAAAATGAAAACCGTTAAAAATAGAAAGCTTGCTCCTTGGTTTAATGCAGAGCTGCGTACTTTGAAGCAAAATGCTAGGAAACTAGAGAGAAAATATCGCTCCACAGGCCTGCGGGAGTCCTTCCAAGTCTGGAAAAATGGTTTACTGCTGTATAAGAGGACCCTTTGTAAAGCAAGAGCAGCATACTTCTCCTCATTAATAGAGGAGAATAAGAATAATCCTAGATTTCTTTTTAATACAGTTGCCAAACTCACCCAGAGCCATAGCTCTGTTGAACCGTCCATTCCACCTGCTCTTAGCAGCAATGATTTTATGGGATTCTTTATAAATAAGATTGATCTTATTAAAAATAAGATCATAAGCACTCCTCTATCCGCGATTGTACCTGAGGTAGTCATGGAATCTGAACTGGGTTTAGACTGCTTTGATCCAGTTGAACTTTCTGAATTAGCAAAATTATTGTCTTCATCTAAGCCTTCAACTTGTATGTTAGATCCAGTTCCAACCAGGTTATTTAAGGAGGTATTCCCTTTGATCTCCTCCTCCATTTTAGATGTGATTAATCTATCTCTGTTACAGGGATATGTACCTAAAGCTTTTAAGGTTGCTGTAATTAAACCTCTGCTTAAGAAACCGTCTCTTGACCCAGATGACTTGGTTAATTATAGACCTATATCCAATCTTCCTTTCTTATCCAAAATTCTTGAGAAAGTAGTTGCCAAACAAGTTTGCGATCACTTACACCATAATGAACTTTTTGAAGAGTTTCAGTCTGGCTTTAGAGCTCATCATAGCACTGAAACAGCTCTGGTGAAAGTCACTAATGATATTCTCATGGCCTCAGATAATGGACTTGTATCTGTGCTCGTCCTGTTAGATCTTAGTGCTGCATTTGATACAGTTGACCATAATATTCTTTTAGAAAGACTTGAATATTTTGTTGGAATTAAAGGAACAGCACTAGACTGGTTTAAATCTTATCTATCTGATCGTATTCAGTTTGTTCATGTTAATGATAGATCTTCAACATGCTCAAAGGTTACCTGTGGAGTACCACAGGGATCAGTGCTAGGACCAATTCTCTTTACTTTATACATGCTCCCAATTGGTAGTTATTAGACAGCATGGGATTAATTTCCACTGTTATGCTGATGATACCCAGCTATATCTGTCTATAAATCCAGATGAAGCTAACCCATTACATAGATTACAGGCATGTCTTGAAGACATAAAAACCTGGATGACTCTTAACTTTCTGCTTCTGAATGCAGACAAAACAGAAGTTATAGTCTTTGGACCAGAGTCTCTGAAAAAGACGCTGATTAGCCAGTCAATTCATTTGGATGGGATTAAACTGATTTCAGATAATAAAGTAAAAAATCTTGGTGTTATTTTTGATCAGGACCTGTCATTTAAATCCCATATCAAAGAGGTTTCTAGAATATCCTTCTTTCATCTGAGGAACATTGCAAAAATTAGAAATCTCCTGTCCAGGGGTGATGCTGAGAAACTAGTCCATGCATTTGTTACTTCAAGGCTGGACTATTGTAATTCTTTACTATCAGGAAGTCCACAAACTGTAGTTAAAAGCCTTCAGCTGATCCAAAATGCTGCAGCCAGAGTGCTAATGAAAATTAAAAAGAGAGATCATATCTCGCCTATTCTGGCTTCTCTTCATTGGCTTCCTGTTAAATCAAGAATAGAATTTAAAATCCTCCTTCTCACATATAAAGCCTTAAATGGCCAAGCTCCATCTTATATCAGAGATCTGATTGTTCCTTATGTTCCTAACAGAGCACTTCGCTCTCAATCTGCAGGTTTACTAGTGGTTCCTAGAATTTCTAAAAGTAGAATGGGAGGCAGATCTTTTAGTTATCAGGCTCCTTTCCTGTGGAACCAACTACCAGTTTTAGTCCGTGAGGCAGACACCCTGTCTACTTTTAAGGCTAGGCTTAAAACGTTCCTTTTTGATAAAGCTTATAGTTAGAGTGGCTCAGGTTATCCTGAGCTATCTCTATAGTTATGCTGCTATAGGCTTAGACTTTTGGAGGACATAGGGACCCCCATTTCATCATTCTGCTTCATTCTCTCTCTGTTCTCCTATTCTGCAGAATCTGTTAGTTCAATCTCTAACCTTCTGCTCTCTCTGCTTTTCCTCAGAGTAGCTTTGCCTCGTCTGTTCCTGTTTGGCTGTGACGTCATCCTGGAAAGAAACATCAGCTGTGCTGCTTCCATCAACACCCTTGTTTATAGATGTTGGAGATCGGCCTGTTTTCCAGTGTGGTCCTGTTTCTCTGACCGTGACTGAGTGGATGTGCTCTCTTCATCCTCTGACATGGGAGCTGGCTTGGAGCTCGTCTGCCTGGCTGTGTGTTTCCTGGACGGGGCCGCCTTTTACAGCTGCTTTTTGTATCTCTGCTTCTGTCTCCTTGAACCCCAGTCGGCCTCGGCAGATGGCCGCTCACACTGAGCCTGGTTCTGCTGGAGGTTTCTTCCTGTTAAAAGGGAGTTTTTCCTCTCCACTGTCGCTACAAGCATGCTTAGTGTGAGGGATTGTATTTGAGTCAATGAGTCGATGCAATCAACTGGTTTTCCTTAGACAGAAAACTTTGTATCAATTTGACTGTATGATCTGGTTGAACTGTAAAGTGCCTTGAGATGACATGTGTTGTGAATTTGGCGCTATATAAATGAACTGAATTGAAATTGAATTGAAATAGATGGCCCTGAGCCTAAATGCTGGAAGGCCAATGGCTGAGGGAATTCCTGGAGGGACTTCATCAGAGCCAATCACTCCAGAAGATTTAAGTGCCTTCATAAAATGTAAGAGGTCTACCTACAGTGTTATTTTTTTATGTAGACTAAATGTGATATTTCCATTTATATTACTGTGGGTTGGGTTTTTTGTTGGTCCCAACAGATTCGGATGGTAATATCTGCCTCTTGGAGCCTCCTGTCCCAACAGTACCCCATCCAGTTGTCAGTAGCCTACTCCATACACCATCAATTATGACACATAGTATTATAAAGTGTACTCTATGAAATAATCATCTTCACAGGATGATGGGGATGAAGAAACTGTTTCTGCTGCCACAGACAGGCCTAGAGAGGTAATTTTAATATTATTTGTCTACACATCAAACAATCTACACATTCACATTTATATGTGGAGTAGCCTATAGAATCCAAGTTTATATCTATAAATGGTCATTCTTATCTCTACACCCCAGAGTGTGGAAGAACAGCAGGAGGAAGGTCCATCAACTTCTGGTGCACAGATGGACACAGTTCAGTGATTTACAGTAAATGCCAGTTTCATTCTGAATTGTAGACTACATTCATGATGTGACTCTAATCTAATGTATTTTCAGTTGCCAGTTAAGGAGTTATATAGACTTCTTATTAAAAAGATAGAAAAAAACAGCAAAGAACTTGTATACTTGGACCGCCAGATCCAAAAGGCAGATCTGGAAATCGACATTCTGAAACTAAAGCTAGAGGTGAGTGTATGGTCACAGGTCAATTCTAGGAAGTATTGAAACTATTTTAAAATCTTTTTTTTTTTTTAGCAAACGAAGAACACCATATAAATTGCTGTGATTTTGTTTATTAATTAGTTTATTTTATGAAATAAAGAACCCCATAAATTGCTGTGATTTTGTGTTTATTCATTTTTTTTGTGGTGGTGGTGGATATCATGTGTATTAATCTGAGAAGACATTGCGGCATATCATATCCCGGACTACCCTTCCATCCTGGAAATCTGCAGGGTTGATGGGCTCTTCCTCAGGGTCTTGTAATCGTAGGGCAGGGTGTTGCTCCCCTCTAATTATGGCAATATTATGGAGAACAACACATGCCACAATAATGTTGCAGGCCCTTTCAGGGGTTACCCTGAGGTGACGTAGGCACTGGAAACGTGCTTTCAACAGGCCTATGGTCATCTCCACCCGGGCTCTTGTCCTGCAGTGTGCCACATTGAAGCGCTGCTGTGGGCCTGGTTCAGGTTCTGGGTAAGGGGCCATAAGATTTGGTCGGCATGGGTAACCCCTATCTCCCAGCAGAAAGCCATCAATCTCTCCTGTAAGAAAGTTCACATTGCTTTAGAGCTGCATAGAAATTCCCCTGTAAGTGTTTAGTGCATACATTGAAATATGTGTAAAGGATATACATTTACTTACCCCTTTCCAGTCTGTTGCTCAGGGTTGACTCCCGATAGATTCTTGAGTCATGAACAGAGCCAGGCCACTTGGCCTCCACATATGATCTTGACAGTGCAAAGAATGAGAGATGTTACAGTATTGTGGTGTAGTCTTTGACCATTAGAAACACTAGGCTGTCAGTGTACCTGCACATTAATACTGTGGATGGATCTCCTGTTCACATAGTCCGCTTCATTTTCAGAAGGTGCAATAATCGGAATATGTGTGCCATCAATGAATCCAACCACATTCGGAAATCCTAAAGGGAATTCTAATTATTAGGTTACTTCCAGGGGTCACAGCAAGATATTCTTAACTGAATGTAATTTATCAGGTTAGCCTCATTTAAACCGATTTATACACCATTGACCTGCAATCCTGTGAAACTCCTCTTTGATGACTCTCACTGGTTTGTGCCCAGGAAATAATACAAAAATTCTCAGAAAGCACTTAAGAGCGAGGCACACTTTCCTTACCGCTCTGCAAACAGTAGCCTTACTAATATGTCCAGCATCCCCGATGTTATAAAGAAAACTTCCATTCGCAAAGAAACGTAAGGCAACGCAAAGAATCTGCTCGGATGTAAGAGCACGGCCACGATGGTTGATGTTTCTGATGTAAGGATGGATGAGATTATGGATGTATCTTATTGACTGTAAAGAAAAACGGTAACGCTCAAATAAAAATGGATAGGGATATGACAAAAAATCGACTCTGGGCCTCAAAGTCCTTTCCCGACGTAAATGTAACTCCCTACGAAGTAATACAGCCTCTTCGTCAACAGGATCATCCATAAAAGGACATGCCATTTCATTCCCTTTGATGCGCTCTACGTGACTGAAATGTGTGCAATGAATATGTCCCCAAAGAATCAATGAGGTGTTTAAACACCATTTCCTTTAAACTCTGGATTTTCTGAAGAAAACCTGCTCCCGACCAGGTTAGGTTCACAGAGTAAATTGCCATGCTAACGGACTCTGAGTATAAGTTACCTCTCTTTCAGAAACGGGCTTGACTTACTCTGCTTTCTCAGGTTTAACCTTACTATGGTGTTAGGGCCCTTACGGACCCGTTTTGAGTTTTAGCATGCTTAAAGGTACTTCATACATTTGTTTTTTGCGTTGAAACTTTTTGACTTTGTCAAGGACTTCCATTTAAACAAAGTAAAATCAAATTTTATTTTTTTACTAAATTATAAAGTGCTCTGGTGAAAAAAATGACTTTTGTGGTGTTTGGGTCATTTGTGACCCGGTTAAAATTTTTGATTATAAAACAATAAAAAATGCCTAAAATGTAATAATGAACACACAATCAACCAACAGCCTCTTCTTCCAACCACTTGAGCTTCATTTAGGGCCTTTTGTCTTAGCCTTTTTGCGAGAACAAACAAAGGGAGACATGTCCAGGCTTGTCAAGCCATTTGAGTGTAGAGGTGGTGACTTGAAGAGTACACATCACCAATTCACAGGATGCAACAATAAGGAGAAGATTCACTGTAAATAAAGCTTTGGATCACATCTGTGCTGCAAATGAGGCAGAGGACACACAGGATTTTTGCGATGGAGATGAGCAGGCCTCTGAGAACGGGCAACAATGTCGCTTTGGACCTTTCAGATGATCTCAAGAGTCCTCAGATTTGACAATCGATACACCAGAGCAAAATCTGACAAGCTTGCTCCCATCAGGGATGTTTGGGAGAGATGGGTGAAACTCCTTCCACTGATGTTCAACCCAGGGCCAGAGGTGACAGTGGATGAACGTTTTCTCCCTTTTCGAGGAAAATGCCCGTTCCGGCAATACATGCCCAGCAAGCCAGGCAAATATGGCATAAAAATCTGGGCAGCCTGTGATGCTAAAACAAGCTATGCCTTGAACCTACAGATTTACATAGGAAAATCTGCAAGCGGCATCCTTGAAAAAAAAACAAGGAAAACGGGTAGTCCTCGATTTGACTACTGGCTGCAGGGTCACATCACTTGTGACAATTTTTTTTACATGCTATGACCTTGGACAAGAACTTCTCAGGAGGAAACTCACCATGGTGGGCACCATAAAAAAAAAAAATAAACCTGAGCTGCCTGCTGAAATGTGGCTGGTGAAGGACAGGAGGAGTGGACAATCTGGACAAGCTGACTGCCACCTACACATGCCAGCGAATGACCAGGAGATGGCCTATGGTTGTGTTTTACAACATCCTCAATGTGTCTGCATACAATGCATTTGTGTTGTGGACCCATATTCACCAAGGGTGGAATTCAACCCAAAACACTAAGCGGAGAATGTTTTTTGAGGAGCTTGGGAATTCCCATGTCAAGCCGCACATTGAGCAACGGGAACGGGTGCCCCGAGACCCAGCTACTGCAGACTTGGTCAGACAGCTGCAGTGGTCACCAAACACGCCATCCACATCCACAGCAACAAGAAGAGTATCAGCATCACCTTCACCCTCTGCAGCCAGCCCTGCCTCAAGCACCCCATCCCCAGCCACAATGCCAGTGAGACCACCTCGCTCAAAAAGAAAGAGGTGTCAGGTCTGCCCTAGCAATATGGACAGAAAAACCTAGACAGTGTGCTTCACCTGCAACAAATATATCTGCAAAGAACACACCAAAAGTGTAAATATACACAAATATAAATATTGTATTCAAGTTCTATTGAAAAAAGACTTGTTTTTGCCCTTTTCTTGAAGTAAATATATACGGGTCCAAAATGACCCGAAACACTATAGATGTTACTATATTTGATAATATTAAAATTAAAATCTTTTTTTTGTTGAACATTTATGAAATGTGTTTTAATATCTCTCAGTTGCACTCAGGTAACAAAACAACTGATTATTTTGTTGCCTTCTTCTCTTAAGGTTCATTGGACCACTATTTAGACATTGAAAACGAGAGGTATGCTGCTAAAACAAAGGCCCAGGGGGCCACAAAAAATATTAAAACCAATCTTTTCATAGATAAGGGAGCCCAATCAGCTAAACAAGAGTTAAGAAAAACATTGGATGATAAAAGATTGTTTTTAGGGTATTTTATGGCTGATTTAATACTCGGGTCCAAAATGACCCGCTAACACTACAGATGGCAGCAGAAAGCTAACACAAGAGGAAGGTTAACTTACCTCCCTTACTGAAACATAAAACCCAGAGTTTCCCTCATTTCAGGGTTAACAAACTCAGAGTTTTCACTTAACCTCCTTTCTGAAACAGGCCCCTGGTCTTGTTTTCAGTTGATTGAGTTCTGGTTTCGGACATTAGTGGCAAAACTGCTTCCTTTTATCCTTTGCTTGCTGGAACTTTAGAGTTGCTCCCAGTTGGTGGGTCTTGGATATTGCAAACATTGGGTCTGATTCTGCTTTTACTCCTTTTATTATAAAAGAAACCAGATCAGTGAGCAATGCTTGGTGGCCATTTTGTTCCTGCAGTTCATAAGCAGTAACTAAAATTTTCCCTGTTTGTTTGGGAGATTCAGGATGATCATTCTCATATTTAAAGGCTAATCCAACTCATATTCGTCTCCATGTGTGCAGAAGCAATTTTATTTTCATTCCCAACATTTTCTTTAAGAAGACATTTGGCTTTGGAATAACTTTGCTTGTGGGGTCAGTGCTGACAGCTATGCATCAGGTCTTTAGGCTGCCCCCTAGTGAGCTGCTCTAAGAAGTGCAAACAGTTGCTTCAGTTGTCAGTTTTAGCTTTTAATCCGTTCTCAAAGGCATTCCTAACTGATCTGTACTGCAGAGGGTCCCCATCAAACACAGAGATGTTTCTGGATGGAAAACAGACGATAAATTTTGTTTTACAAGTAAGGCAGTGATGTCATTTTGTCTTTGTATGACGTTCATAATATCATTCTGAACCTTCTTAGTCAAAAAGAGATTGAAATTGTGTTTACTGTGTTGCTTGAGTTGAAGAATCAACTTTTACTCTCATCTGATCCAAGTTGTTTACATCTTTGTTTAGGTCTGAAAAATTCCCAGTCTCTTTAAAGCAGAAAAGGTGGATTTTGTTTTTTTATGTATAAACATTTAAAAAACATACAAATAATGAATAACCCCCCCTAAACACACCCCTCTGTTTTAATTGGTTCATTCACTGGCTTAACCCATAACGCCCCTTCAGTACGCTCCTCTATTTTATGCCCCTGCCACACCCCTACACCACCTGTTCTCAGTCACCCATGATCCCTCTTAAAGGTCAGAGGTCACCTGTCAAGTAAGTTTGATTAAAGGGTGTTGTTTGATCTCTGACTGGACTACTTTTGAAACTTCAACCACTGACTTAAACCAACTAAC